CCCTTGTTTTCGAATCAGTTTAGGAAAACTGTGCACGGTACCCCTACACACAGACGCATACACACACACACACTTAAAGATTCACAGTGAATTTTTTTTTTCTTGAGGGTCTTGCTCTGTTTCCCAGGTGGGAGTGCAGTGCCATGATCACGGCTCACTGCAGCCTTGACCTCCCAGGCTCTGGCGATCCTCCCACCTCAGCCCTCCAAGTAGCTGGGACCATAAGCATGTGCCACCATACCCGGCTAATTTTTTTTTTTTTTTTTTCTTTGTAGAGATCGGTTTTTGCCACCTTACCCAGGCTGGTCTCAAACTCCTAGCCTCCAGCGATCCACCTGCTTCGGCCTCCCAGAGTGCTAGGATTACAGGTGGGAGCCACTGCCCTGGCGTCACAGTGAATATTACCATATGAAAGTCACTGAGAAGTCCTGCAGAAAAATTAATATTAAACTTTATTTAGCCCAACGTGTCCAAAACGTAACTGGCCATGGAAACCTCCATCCTGCTTTTTTTTTTTTTTATTAGCATTCTTCAGAACTAGCGCTATAGGGAACACCTTTAGAAAGTTCTGTATCCAGTCTTTTTATTGTACTGAGGAGGAAATTGAGGTCCAGAGAGGTTGGGAACTGCCTTTGGGTATGTGCCAGCCACAGAGCCACAACCTGATTCACCAGACATCCTTCCAAATCAACACTCTCTCCGGTAAATCACACTTCAGTATGTCTATTCCATACCTCTAATATATAAACAGTACACACAGCACATGAGTTGATAGCCTTGTAACTGCCAACTTACAAATCACCCTTTAAAAAAATACTAAGAAATCGCTAGGTGAGAGCTGAGATCATGTATACAAACTTGAAGTGTGTTTATATACACTATTAATCGCCCTTGTCATGGTTTATACTAGTTAGCCAAGTCTTGCTGGTATCAATTGTTTATCCTCATTGCCTTCTCACTGAAATACTACTACCAATAACAAATACTGGCTCCCTTTTTGCTCTCAGTGTGAAGGATAACATTAATATAGTGATGCAAATTTCTAGCATTTATCTTTATGCATTCATTTAAATGGAGCCAAAACTAAAGAAATCACTTGTTAACAAGATAATAAAAAACAAATCCTTATACTGCGCACTTCATTGATAGATCAAATCCCATTATCACTAACTAAAAGGGAAATTCTTTACTTTGGAATTTGGTTGAAATTAAGACAATTTTCAAAAAAGAAAAATAAGAATGAAGAGAGGGGCATGGAAATCTTTGTTTTTGCAAGTTATAAATATTTGTCATATTAAAAAGTAAATTGTTCGATTGTAAACTTTAAAAGGTAGGTAACATACAAATTTTTTAAAATCATATTTTGAGAGCAGTCAGTACCCAACTTTAAAAAGTATTTATGAATAATAACATATTAGGAAAGATCAATTGGAATTTCTGTCTCAAAAGTTAAATATTCAGTGCCTGTGATCTGTATTTGTTACTGAAGGCTTCTTTATCAGCAGAAAAGGCAAATGATACCCTGCAAATGTTTCCAGCATGCAACTTTGCTTATCTCCCTGTATTAATGATCCTTATGGCAGTTGTTATATTAACCTTATCACATAGTACAGCAGTAAGGGAAGACTATTGTGAAGGAAAAAAAAACCATTTTGTTTAATGTCTGGGACCTTTTTTGAACCTAGCAATTTTCTGATTGTCAAGGATGGAAAAAAATGAAAGTTAAACTTTTACTGAGTTTATTTACAATCTCAAAGAAGAAACTGGACATTTCCAAATGGGTGATTCAGTAAACATCATAAAATTTGAAGAGGACACTGATTAAATTATCAACTAAATGCTCATTATGTGAGTTCTGGGTTTCAAGGGGTCCACTAGGGCGCTCCCACCAGGAGTCAGGAAGTGGCTCCTGAGAAAGGCAGTCTCTCCTTCAGGGCTCTGAACTGCTCATTTGTGAATATGACATTACCAAAAAAACTCCCATTTGCCCCTCGTAAGACTTCTATCTCCTTCTTCATACAGTCTCTATGTGCACACAGATGACATTCAGAGGCTCTGTCTTTTAATCCCTCTTTAACTTGGATAATATCAAACCTGACCCTGACACCATTCTACCTTCTCTTCTCTCAAGGTATTGAGAAATCACCTAACTCTATGATTGCAATTAATGTTTGGTTCAGCTACAAATGCTTGAGCTCAACCCACATACTAGCAGAATGAACACAAGTCCCTTCCACTCCCCCACCTAGGTAACATGCTTTTTCCTTTTTTTTTTTCTTTCATTATCCCTTTAATACAGAGCAGGGCTACTGATTAGCAAGAGGCAGTTTGACTCCGGCAATAGGTCTTCTTCACTAAGCCTCACTGTCATGGAAATTCCAGCTGCTACAAGAATAAGAGGCTCAATCCATATTTGCCAGCTCTAATATGAAATCTGTCAGAGCCCAAATTAATGAGTTCCAAATTCCTTACATCACGATAACAGGTTAAGACTGGTCAATTAATTACATAAATCCTTCCCGATTCATTGTGCGTTTGCAGCCCAGATTGTGTCTTACATTACTCCATGACACAAGGCCTTTTGGCTCCTGTTGTTCTGCAGAAAGGCCCCATTTAAGTGGAGGCTGCCTGCCACGGCAAAATGTTAAATGTCACACATTAAATTTGCACTTTTCTGTAATTGCTTTTGTTTAAAAAAAAAAAATTAAACGAAAGCACAGGGCTCCCAGTACACTGCTATGCAGAGAGCTGGGATTGTACTGCACGGATCCCAGGGCAGGTCAGCACCTGTGTTTTACCTCTAATAGCACATGCTCCCAGTACCGGGTCCTCTATACGCAGTGGAACCCAGAATGTGCATATTTGTGAAAAGAAGCCAAGTTTCCCTAAGATCTAAGATTCTTATCTTTATGAAAGGATTAAAATAGGATTTTCTACATAGCTAGCTTCCCTTGTCTACCAGTAAAAATATTGGATATCTTAAACACTGTCGATCTAGTCACCTTTCAGAAGCGTGTGCATATTATATTTGCATAGGCCTTTGCCTCCAAAAAAAAAAAAAAGATATTCCAGATGGCTTTGCTATTTGGATTTGTCACTGTAACACACCTACAGAGAGTGGTCTAATTGAGGACCTCATAATCATCCACGCCAAATCTTTTCCTTTTTTTTTTTTTTTTTTTTTTTGAGACGGAGTCTGGCTCTGTTGCCCAGGCTGGAGTGCAGTGGCCGGATCTCAGCTCACTGCAAGCCCCGCCTCCCGGGTTCACGCCATTCTCCTGCCTCAGCCTCCCGAGTAGCTGGGAGTACAGGCGCCCGCCACCTCGCCCGGCTAATTTTTTTTGTATTTTAGTAGAGACGGGTTTCACCGTGTTAGCCAGGATGGTCTCGATCTCCTGACCTCGTGATCCGCCCGTCTCGGCCTCCCAAAGTGCTGGGATTACAGGCTTGAGCCACCGCGCCCGGCCAAATCTTTTCCTTTTTATAACATCACAATGTACCTGGAATCACAGCTAGTTAAAACTTGACCTGGATGTGTGACCTCCAGATTCCTAGCGTGGTCCCTCCACCCCACTACATGCCTCTGTAGACTTGTATGCACGTAGTTGCTGGGTACGGAATGGAACCGGTTCTGGTTGCGTTTCCTGAACCACCTTATTGTGGGCTAGGGGTTCTGCGAATACACCAGCAACCAAATGATGCTCTTAAGAACAACCGACACCTACGTAGGGAGCAGGTTCTTTCTACTTGGGAGCCCTAACACTACTCTACTACGCGGGCAGCTCGCCAGACCCAACCAAGGGTGCATTCTGCAGAGGGCGGCTGCAGCCTCCGCACTGGCCCGGCAGCGCCCCCTTCTGTCCTCCGGCGGCCTGGCACCTGATGTGTCAAAGGCCGCGCGCTTTTTCCGGGGACTAGAACACAGTCCCGCTTACAGGGCCTCAGCCTAAAGCAGGTTGAAAACTTGTGTCACCCCCCCCCACGCCCCCCCCCCACACACACACAGAGCACCCTGACCCAGGCGCGTTTCTGAACCTGGAGACACGCACTCCTTCCCCAGTAGCCCAGTCTTACCACCAGGCGCGACTGTCCCCTCCCTCTCCAGACGGGAGGGGGCAGGTTAACGCAGCCGCGCGCCCGCCGGGCAGGTTAGGCTCTTGGGGACCTAGAAGAGAAAGGGGTTAACTAATGTGTGCGATGCGTGTGCAGATGACAAAATTTAGGGCGCGTAGAGTTTGCCCGGCGCCACCGCGTCCGCTCGCGGGGACCCTCGGGAGCTGGGCCCCACGGGGCCGGAGCAGCACGGTGTCGCCCCTCCTCCAGCCGGGCTCCAGCGTCTGCAGAACAAAGCCTGGGGTCCAGCCCCGGACACGGCGCGGCCGCCCCTCACCCAGTCCCCGGGCGGCAGGGCCTGCTCCACGCTCACTCTCCAGCCTGGCGGGGCCCTGGAAGCCGGGACATGCGGAGGCCCGGAGGGTCATCGGCGTTCAAGGCAGCCTCCCACACCAAGCGCACCGCCCGGAGCCCCTCTGCACGAGCGCTTTCTGCTTATTGCTCTTTTCCCCAGAAGCCAGAGTCATCACGGTAGCGCGGGAAGGGGCCTCGCGGGCCAGTCTGCAGCAGGTGCGGTCGGGAGCCGCAGGCCCGCGCGGTAAATCGCTGTCTCTTTGCGGTCGTTGTTCCCATTCACCGCCCGCCGCCCCCCCTCCACCAGGGTTCTTTTTTTTTCTTTCCGCCGCGCAGTTGCCATGGGTTACCAGGGCGGTTGCCATGGGTTACCGGACCGAGGCCGGCTGGCTAGCTACCTGCCGCCAGTCGCCGCCGCCGGCGGAGTGGCCCGGGCGGGAGGTGGCGGGAGCGCGCGTGTGTGGGACGCAGCGCGGGGGATGCGCGCGGGCCGCGGAGGCGCCGCAGCCAACAGGCGGCCGAGGGTGCAGCCGCGGGAGCGCCATCGCCAGTGGGGTGGGGGGCAAAGCTATAAAGAAGGCCCAGAGGTAAGAAACTAGCAAAAACACAACCACAAGTTATGCCCGTGCTGTGCCTCTAGCAGCAAAGACAAGCGGTGTGGGGTTTTGGATGAATCTACACTTCTCGTCGGGGGAGAAAGGGTATTTTCCTCTTTAGCATAAGCCATTTGCATAGTGTCTTTAGACCAGAGTTTAAATTCAGCAGGAAATTGTAGCTTAATGTTTTGGGGTTTTTTTCTCTCTTTTCCTCTATATCTTTTGAAAATAAGTCTTTGGAATTTTGGAGAAAGAGAAAGGGTCATTAACTACCAGAGTTTGCGCAGCTAAAATAAATTAAGTGTCCAATGCACTGCTCATGATCTAGAAAAGTTTCCAGTTAAGACAGTTAAGAGTGAAGCGCAATTGTGTCTGCTAAAAAGGGACAATGGTGACTCGTTTGTAAGATGCATATGGCAAAGAATAGAACCAAAGTCCTTTGTATATATAGCAAATGTTAAAGAATGTTGCTTATTTACATCCTTCTGAAATTTTTGAACTCCACTCTTAAAATTATTAATTTCTTATGACCTTTATTTGCAAAGAAAGTTCTATGCTTTGAATGTCAAATTGCAGTAACTAATTTCCGACAGTATTTTGTATTTGACAATGTGTTTATATATAATAAACTAAGAAAAGGTCTGTATTCCAAACAGAAACACAAAATTGTACTGAAATAAATTGTTTCCTTCATTGAAAAGATGTTGCTTTGTATTCATAGGATACCAGCTAAATAATTTAAATATTAAGAGGAAGACTATTTAGAAACAATAAGCTTTGTTATTTTTGTTTTAAAATGTTGAGGCTTCCAATGAAAAGGGGTCGTCTTTTATAGCTCAAATACTGAAAACCTTTTTTGTACCACAGTAGCTCAATAATAATGAATCCTTAAGGCATCCAAAAAATACAAACCAAATTCAAAACAGCATCTAGTTTACTGTTGGATATAACGGTGATTGTAGCCAGGCTAAATGAATTTGTTTAACTTCTTAATTGTCATAAAAGAAATTTTGTTCTTTTACTTTATACTGCATATCACTTGTTTGTATTTAATTATTCAATGAAATGTGGACTAGGTTTGAAAAACTGGCAAGATACTTAACATCTTAAGGAATAGTATCTGCTTAAGAATAAATACTTGTCCCTAGTAATTTTTAAAACTTGAAATCTTAACTAGAATTAAGTAACTTTCTTCTAAGTGAGACTTTATAAGAAGCCTCAGTAACAGGTTGTTGACGTTCACTGTTGACACCTTTGGGTTATATATAAATCTAGTTCTACAACAAAACACGTAAGTTGGCTTTATAGGTGAATAGTTTACCCTTTCAGAATTAGCCAGGGAAAATGCAGTTTTGCTGTATTGTAACCATAAAGAATCCAGGATTAGAATTATTTATATTTAAGTCATATTAAAAATAGTGTTAAATAAACATCTATTCATGTTAGTTACATCAGTAATTATTTTCTTTTCCCTAAAGAAAGCTTTATAAAAAATATGCCAGGGAAAAATAAGAGACAAAGCAAGAAAACCACCGGAAACTGAAGTTCATCTAAATATCTCGGCTGCAAGAAATCAGTTTTAAGAAGCCAGAGTGTGGACACTGAAACAACTGAACCAAGGCTAAATGCCTCAAATATTTACAACTATAGTTAATATTAAACCATGTTTTACCAAATTTCCTCATAAAAAATAAAAAACACTGAGTTTTGGTCTAAGGCAGAATATAGTCTCTTGTATAAAATAAGTGATCTGGCAAAGTTGATTTTTTTTCCCGTTTAATGTAAAAATGATCTCATGACATTTACATACTAAATATTAGGCATTAATATTAATTTTGATGGTTATGTTACATCATCTAAAAATAATATGACAATTGGTGGCATAGTATGTGTTTTTCAAAACTGCTGTAAAACAGAAATAGTGTGAACTCAAATACATATTGCTGAAGGGATGAGGATCGCTCTTAAATGCCTGGATGGCATAAACTTTACATATTAGCATGGTAAGAAATTACTAAATCTTGTGCACATGTATCCTAGAACATAAAGTATAATTTAAAAAAAAAGAAATTACTAAATCTTTTTCTTTTCCTGTATTAAAATAATGAGGATCTAAGACACATTAAATCAAAATATTTACAAAAATTTAATAATGTTTTAGACCAAAGAAAAAAAGGACAAATTAAAGAAATCATTCTAAATTTAATTTTTTAAATGTTAGTTCTTAGTTTTGTTAGCTTTTTTTTCTGTTGGTTCTTTGAAACAAGCATTGTAAAGACTTTTTAATAATACAATAGCTTTTAAACTCCTAGTGAAAATGAAAAGGTTGCTTTTTGTAGTAGCTTCTGCCACTCTTCAATTAGGCTGGGTGACAAAGCAACAAGTTATCCTAGTTATCTGAAAATATCTTCCTGTTAGTTTCACAGAAATATTTTGTGCCATTCAACATGGAAGAAATTTGGCTAATTATCTCAAGAAAATGTTGCCTCATCTGAAATCTGAAGTTCAAAATAGTTTATCCAAGATATCTTTGGGACACTAAAAAAAAGACATTTTATGAAAATTATACCAATCTTCAAGTAGATGCTTTAAAAGAAGGGGTTTTTAAAAAATGAATAATTATTTCTGAAATTAGCAAGTTGACATCCTTTTCTAAATTATGGGAATATTTATTGGTAAAATTAAATTTATTATTTTTATAAAATCCTTCCTCTGATTTAAGTAGTAAGTAACCACCACTGATACTGAAAGTTATCTAGTGATAAGAAATTGCACATTTAGTCAAAAAATAAATCATTAACCTGTAGTTCTAATTATGCAATGATAATGAAAAAAATGATTTGTCTCCAGAAACCATTTGTTGAAGCTGATTTTGGACAATGAAAATGTATTTCTGAATCTATATACTGGAATTATAAGTAATATTACTAGCACTATCTATGTTTTTTCTAAGATGTAAACATTATTTTAATATGTCTCTATTCATAAGATACATTTCCATCTAAGCGTGAAACAGAATACTGGAAAGGTTAAATACTCTTAAAATATTTCAGTCGAACACCCAAAAGCGTATAGTGTTTTGCCAGTGCACAGGAGGTATCCACAAAATATCAGCCACAAGTCTGAGAGAGGCAGTCTGGTCTACAATGTTACTCTTCATAGGGGTTAACAACATATACACCGTGTTTACTGTTTACGGTAACACTGCCCCACTGATACAAGAAGGAATGCTCTATCTTGATTTTAAATGCTACTTAGTTGCCTATCTTTTTAAATTCAATAAAACCAACTAGGTTTTTTAAAGCATGTAAGTCATTTCATTTGAGGGCAAGATCTTGTTTACCAATAATGCCTGCCTGCAAAGGATAGTATTGCATTCACAGGATTTTTAGCTTTACACAGAAGCCTACCTAAAATAAGACAACATAAAAATACCACTAATAAACAACCAACAGCTTTAAGAATTTAAATACCTAACATCATGACAGTGAGCTTTAGGTAAGAATGTATTATTACGAAGCTTTCTTCTCTATGACTGGACATAATTTGCTATTCCTAAGATAGTAACATTAGAATTATTTTTCAGGATTCCTGCGGAGCTGTATTTACTTTACATCCATGTGAACTGCTGTCATCACTACTGTGTCCAAGCCCAGAGGATGAACTGGAAAAGAAGAGAGGGGGAAAATAATAAAAAGAGGAAATTGGTTTTCACAACACACTCAAAGCCTGAGTAACAGAGGAGAACTTTAATTATCTCCAGTCACAAAGAGAGACAGGAAATTTGGACTTTTAATTAGCCATTTGGAGTGCAGTTGGATATTTTTTTAGCTAGATAATTTAAACGCGAATAATTCAAGTCTGACTAAATGAAAGTCACATAATCAGAATGCAAATAATTGAATTTCTACTGCATTCATTAATTCAGTGTGGAGGTGTGTGTGAAGACTACTATGATGAGCTGTCACAGCTCAATAAAATCTCAGTCAATTAATTTTTTCATTATCTTAGTATTACATCAACAAAGAAGTGAAGTGTGTATATATATCTATACACATGCATATGTGCACTATGTGTTACATAAATACATATACATTAAATCAAAATGCAAGGAAATACCTTTCTGAATCATAATCTATATCATTTTCTTTTTTTCCTTCTTCATCTTCTTCAGGGAAACGTCTGTTCATCAAGGCAAACTTGTGAATTGCTTCTTCCACAGAATACTTAGTCTGCCCAGAAACACACGCCTCAATGTCTTCTGAATTCAGATGGCTCTGTAAGAAGAGGTGAAGGCTGCTATCTGAAAGCAAAAGTGCATTCTGTAGGACTCTGTATTAAAATAGAAAAAAAGGAAAAATAATTGGTGAACAGGATGGTCAGTGATAGGGTAGAAGAAAAAAAAACATTAGAAAATGTACCACTGAAGGTAATTTCTCTCCTGTGGTAAACTTTGTATCAATTATGGGCTCCGCCCATTAAGGGGAGGAAAGCATATGTTAACTTTTATTCAATTATTTGGAAATTTAGGTGGGTAAAAACATGAAGCTAATAGTTAAGAACATCTGTTAAAAGAATAACTTCAAGGACATTTCTTCAATTTACCCATCTGTTATTACCATGTGGATTAATTATGGAAATATTTTGCTTAAATAGTCATAGAAATTTATTCTACTTTAAAAAATTTACTGCCAACAGCATGTCAACTCAGTGATCTTTATGAGATAGGCTGTCATGAAACATCAAAACTTTCAACTACTATTAAAAATTGTATGAAGAAGTCGATACAATTCTCAGCATATTTTACATTTTAAAACTTTACAAGTATAGTTATATACTTAAGTGCATGTTTACAACAGCTCATGAGAGAGATGGCTTTTTTTTAATACTTAAGGTTAACTATAAATTTCTCCAAAATCTTTAGGAGCACTGAATCTGTGTGTTGTCAAAATGAGCAACCAAATAAAATTGATCCCAGCCAACTTTACCATATATAAAATTAAAATATGATAAGGTTGTGATGAGTACATACTGCTCTTCCCACATTCAAGATCAAAGTTTACAAAGACAGAACAGATTTCAACCAGGGCATCAGGACTACATGGAAGATTAAAAACTATCCTGTAGCAAAATCTATAGATGCTCAAATTCATATCAGTGAATGTGTTTTCTCTGAAATGCACATCTTAGAATATGAAATCAAATCAAAGTATACCTTTATATTTAAATAAAAACTGATTTATCTTTTAGCAAAGATGTTGACATATGATAATTTAGTCTCTACGAATAATAGTTCAATAGTTATGTAAGAGGAGACACTAAGACCGGATATAGGGGACAAAACTAAAACACTAAAACCAAGTAGAGTTTTGTTCAACATAAGATATTTCCAGTATAACGATCTGTGAAAAATAGATCATGTATTTCAGACCAAATGAACCTTACCTTATATTCTGCTTGTTTAAACAAGTAATAAGGAAAGTAAATCTCTTTTGGCCATTAATATCAGTTTAGTGAAAATCCAAGGCCATTATAATAAGTCCTTTTCTACAAAATAAATTATTTCTCAACAAAGGCAAAAATGCCTAAAAATGCACAGTATTAAAACCAAAATCTAGCTGTCCCCTTTGCTTCAGCAGGTTTACAGTTTGAGAAAATATTCTTTACTGGTCTATTAGAAGGAAAAGTAAAACCTTTGTGCTTTTTAAAAGGCAAAACCTCAAGCAAAACAGCTAAATGCTTCCTTTTCCCTGTGTCCTCACTCCTGGGTCCTCCCAGAAGATGACCATGTCACATGATAATGATTAATTCACCAAGTACAAGTAGCTAAGTAGTAAATCCCTCTGTACTCTTTGAGATTTATTTTCTACATTTACAAATGTTTACCATTCTGGTTTTAAATACTTCAGATTAAGAGAAGAGTTACAGACAACAATCCATTAATATGAACTTGGATCGTGAAGTCTGCGAAGTGAGCAGACTGTTTCCTGTGGCCTCTGTCAGCGGTTTCCTGCCTGCCGTCAGTACAAGGAACTGTTCGTGGGATTGTACTCACAGCTTTGTTTCTGTTAGAAATGTGTTTTATTTTCTTTATAAAATAATGGGTAATCTTTAAAATTGATTTTAGATGGTTTGAGGCATCACACCACAAAAGTAATGAGCACTAATGCCAATGATACTGGACACAAATTCATTTTAGCTTTATTTCATGTCTGAAGCAATTCTACTGAGCCTTGAACCGCTCACGTGTTGTTATTAACTTGCTAGTAACTTAACACATGGGTACAGCAAACAAAAGTGATCAGAGTCCAGGTTGATCGGGACCTCAAGGCTACTGTCCTTTTTCTTGAGCTATAATTCAATTTCCAATTTTACTGTACATTAGACTCATTATTTCCCAGTGTTTTCTTTTTCTGCTCAATACTGCCATCTGGAGGACACACAGATGAAAAGAGAAGGAGCCAGGCTCACCCAGCTCACAATTCCAAAGAGGGAGAAAGATGTGGCTGAGGAGGGGACATCTGAACACTTCCCCAGGCCTAGAGTTCAAACCAGTCAGTCGGCTAGACCGTTTTGGTCTTTGGAATCTCCTCTGTTTCTCTGGCTAAATTCATGCCACCATACTCCATGAGTATGAGTTTTAAATAAGCAAAAATAATTTTTAAATGTATTTATATGCTTTTTATTTTATAGTCAGATAGTTCATTCTGAAATTTAAAATGAAAATTTTTGAGAGTGTTTTCCCATCTGGTTAGGTGAGCATAATTAATTTATTCTGAGTACTATCTGGCTTACTATCAGAGAGGGCTGTGACTGCCACCATCATAATATTAAATCTTATTTTTTCCTTAGTCATGTTTGTGCCATATTTTCCACAAACAAACCTAATAGCAGAAAATCAATTTCAAACCTAATATAAAGAGTACTTTGTAAAACAGTCAATAAAATGTCATTTGTAGAAACCTCCATTTAAAAAGTATATGATTTTCAAATCTTTATAAAAGGAATGAAAAATAGCCTCTAGGATTTTAAAATAATTTCTAAAAAGATATTTATAGTGCAAATCAGAATTTATTCCTTTCCCCATAACAATTTTAGACTAAACAAAGCAAAATCTGTTTTTTTCCCTAAATTGGACACAGTTGAAAAGCACAGTTTTCCTCAACATGATTTTATTAGATGTATTTATATGATGGTTTAGCTAAGAACAATATATAGCTATGCAAAATCATTTCATCCTAACTAAGGATGTCCTGGGTCTACTGAACCCAATACAATGATATATATACACATCTGTATAGTACATGGAAGATTAGCAGTTTGATGTAGGAAAAAAAATTAACTCAGCCTGTTTAGCTCTTACTATAAGAAAAAATAAAACCTACAAATCTTCATTGAAGACATTCATGATCTGTGCTGTGGTGCCCTCTATTGAATACAAAGACATAAAAATCGTGTGTGTGTAAAACTAGCTGTCATGGTTCAACACTAGCCTTTTGTAAAAAAACTTTAATATTCCTTAATATTTGAAGAAATACAAAACCATGACACGAAAGTCTAAACTGTAGGGTAAATGTAGTTGTATTAATGGGATGAATTCAGTAAAGAAGGAAAGCAGCTCCCACTCATGAATAAATCTGTTCAAACCTAAACTGAAAATCCCATTCAAACCTAAAAATTAGTAGGAATTCCATTTTCCATAGTTGGAGACTTACTGAGTTTATATTTTTTAGCCTATAACTTACTTTTTGTAACTATTAGAAGTTACTTTACGTTTATAATTACTCAGGGGCAAGAATACAAAAGGGAGATTATAGTTAAGACTGAAAAAAAATGAGTATATTTGAAAAATCTCACTATCATACCAAATTTAGCCAGCATTTAAAAGTACTGCTAATTTTAAATTTGCCAGGTCCTGAGATTCATATAGTACATCCACCTTTCCTATAATTTCTTTATCTATAAAACTGAGATAATATCCAACTCCTAAGATTTTTGTAAATACTGAGACTAAAACATGTAAAATGCCAAACACATAGAAAGTGTTCAATAAATGGTAGAAATTATTCTTATTTGGCACCTAGTCAAAGAAACAATTTTCTAATTCCTCTACAAAGATCAGTACTTTCTTATTAAATATGTATCATTTCACAAATGACCTTAAAGAAAAATAGGTATATATACACATATACAAAGACATTGTGGTTTCAAAAGGTTTGAACATATTTAGTGCTTCTGGTTCATAACTTCAAAACTTACATGAAAACCAGGCTTTAAAAATACATGCTAAAAACCTACAATACAAGCATGTTTCCATGTTTTAATGCTGTGGTTTCTAAAATTCCTCTACGAACAAGGTACAGGCTATTGATGGCTGGCCCTACTTAACAGGTAACCAATGCGGGTTCAGAGGATGTCAGACTGGGGCCAAGACACAGTGCCGAGGTATATATCATATCTAGTTTCCTAAAGTGGACCTGGGTTGGGTGAGGGTAGAGCGCACCAGGGGCAAAGACGTCGAGGGTGCTGCCTTACACAACCCAGGCAAGCACAGATCTGAAGGACACAGAAGGGAGGCTGGGGAGGGTCAGCAGGGGCTGCAGAGCTCAGGTCAGGCCTGAAGCCAGCCCTGTGGTATTTGACTCCTCACTTCCTTCAGGTTTAGGCTGTGTAGAAGCACCAGCTTTCATTTTTAAAGTGAAATATTAACTTGTAGGCAAATGTTCACATACCACAGTGGAACAAATGGTATCACAAGAGAACCCCCTGCCAACTCCATGATTTGACAACCCAGTCGGATGCCAATCCAGATTCAGCGTTAATGAATCTAGCCGTAGCCCTGTATGTACACAGTGCTCCCCACTAGAATGGAGGTGTCAGGAGGACAAGGACTTGTTCATTCTGTGCAGCCCTATGTCCGCAGCACACAGGATTAAGCATTCACTTAATAAACCTCTGTTGAATGAAGGATCGCTGCATGGTTTTTGGAGGTTTTTTCAAGTCCTTTTCATCTGTAGGACACAACCACTCAGTGAGGTTGGCTATGGGTGGGTAATATTACCCCACTCTATAGCAAACAAAGGCTTAAAAGGAATGAAGTGACTGCTCCAAGGCTCATATACAGCTACAAAAAAAACCAGGAATCATGATTATGGGAGACCTAGAACTCAGCTCCTTGAGTTCCTGAACCAGGACACTTTCTACTATGACATCTGCATCAAATACAACCAGCAAACAGTCAAACCATGCACTATGCAAAAATAACCTGGCACAAGCATAACCCCACTATGGCTGAATGACACTCACAAGGTCATTAATTTGGGTAGATCAACTGTGGATAGAAAGGTTGTGTTCAAAACAACGAAGTAATTCCTCGTCAAAAACATATACCCTGCACTTAACTAGCTATATAATTTAGAGGCATGTGCTGTCTTCTGACCTGAAATAAGACTTCTGACCCTATAGAAGACAAGCTGCCACAGCTCCCCCAGGACAACATCTACACTAGAGTGACAGGCAACTCTGTAGAATTGTGTGGCGGGGACCACATCTCAAGGGAGAGGCCATCAGCCACCTTGGCCTCATAGAGACAACAATTAAAATCAGAGGCCTCCTCTAGGGGAAAGGGCAGGAAAAACTTGGCCAGGTCTCTGTTCTGCCATGCCTGTGATATCCCCCAAAAATACAATGAAATGTTTTTGGAGGACTTGGCTCTGCTAATCTGTTCTTCTGGTCTCTTGCCATGTTTAATCCTCTGGCTTCTCTTCATTTGCCCACTCTCCCTCAATTTATAATCTTGGATCTTTCTGTATGTCTCTAGGACACCTTCAAAGGAAAGGCACTAAGTCAATCTAATAGAAATAAATATTAATATTAATGTGCATACTTAATATCCAAACCCTTTATGAGAGAGCCAAATGGGGAGGAGGCAATATATTATTTCAGGCTAGCTCTAAGGTCCTATTTAGTGAACCCCAAAGGAGATGACTTCAGATCCTGAAACTACTAGAAAAAGAAACAGTTCAGGAGATTGGGTCCTGTCACTAACTAGCAGTCACATGACTCAGCCTATTTCCTTATCTACAAAATTGGAAATTAGGAAAGCGCAAGCTGTCTCATGTCTAAGTACATTAAGATACTAACAGCCAACATGAAGACAGCACACACTGCATGCCAGACACCTAACTCATCTATCTTCTCAACAACCCTATGAGGTAGGTACTGTGATTACCCCATTTTATAGACGGGAAGACACAGGCAGAGAAGGTAAATGATCTGCCCAAGCCCCCAGCTAGTAAGTGGCAGAGTGAGGGTCTGAAACCAGCTAGCCTGGCCTCGGAGTCTGGGTGTAAATCAGTGTGCTATATGGCCTCTAGCATTCTGGGTATTCCAGCATTCCAAAGAGTAGCCGGGGAGGGGCGGGGGGGGAATCACTGGTAGTGTGAACTCAGGCAGCTTTAACTGCAATGCCCACCATCACAGAGTAATCCAGAGTTAATAACTCACTGAGACTGTTCACACGCCACCAAATACTCCTTTATAAACATTCCCTTCAAAGATCAGCATTAAACCATTAGAGGAACCCAGAAGGATATTAGCAGCCCATTACTGAACTGATTTTGGTCTGTAAATTCTAAGCATTGTAAACAAAGGCAGTTTTTAAGAAGCACCTTTTGATAAGTAGGCATATTTGTTTCCTGGCAAATTTTTACTTTTGTCAGCTAAACTCCCATGTAATTTGGATCTGCCTGACAGCTTAAAGGACCATGTATTTGTTATCTAATTGAATTCGTTCATTGTTTTCTTCCTGGAAGACCTGGTCCCAAATATGTACCAGATGATGTGAGCCACAAGATGGTGCTCTAATATAGGAAATGGACCAGTGGGTTTCGCTCTAGTGCAGATTATTCGCATTTCAGAAACAGGAACATTCTTCCCCGCGCCACCATGCAGCTCTTGCAAAGCGCTTGCTCACACCCCTTGTCTGGCCACAGAAGTGTCTGGACACTCACTTTCTGAGGAAATCTTCCAGACCCTGGCGACGCTGATCCACATGCTGGCGATTGTTCATGTTGAAAAATAGGTTTTTAGATGGAAGTTCTGGAAGTTGTCTTAGGAGAAAGAAAAAAAAATGTTTTTAGATGATTAATTCAAGGTGCTTCTGTTACAGAAATCCCTCAAAGTGAAGGCAAATTACGTATGATGATTATTATCACACAATTATTCTATAATTATGATTACACATTATATAGTTATATAATAAGGATATGCGGAAGTCAGCTTAAAGAAAAACCCGTCTTTAAACATTTCTGAGGCCTTTCATGGCCTATACCTATCAAAGTTGGTAAAATTTAAGGGATAAATTTTAAATTCAGATGCAGTAGCTAAAAAACTAAACATAAATATTGTAATCAAGGCAAAAGCCTATAAAAATCCTTCATATCTTATAAATCTTAATGAACATCAATTTCAAATATTCAATATAATGACAAAGTCTCCTCAATATACTCTAAATCACTTACACCAGCAACGCATTACTTTGGAGTCTTTGCCTCAGCCACACGAATTCTCTATATCTTCTTCGTACACAGGATGTTTTCATTGTAAAACACATGCTATTAGTCTGTACAGAAAAAGTAGAAAAATGAGTCTCACCTGAGGAAAAAAAAAAAATGCATTTCTTGTATCTATAATTCACAATATGATCCCAATATTCATTCTAAATAGGATTTAAACCACGAAACATATATTTATATTTATGCCAGTACTCTGAAATCTTGCATATAACCCAGGAAGATAACAGTCCTGAAGACAGCCGGGATGATGGAAATAAGCAGTGTTGCCCCAGGGCGAGGTATGACCTGGCCACTGCCTGCATCCTGAAGGAGCCTCCTACTCACCTATGAGCACTGCTTTCAAGAATAAATAATAAAAAATAAATCCTAACATATAAATGACAGGTAGGAGCTCCGGTTCATCCGTTGCATTTTACCACCATCCACGTAAGCTGGAGGAGCCTCTGGGGCTTAGAGACACCTCCTCACGACCCTTTATGAGACATTGCAGAAATCTTCATCTCCTTGACATGGCCACCCTGCAGATCACACAAATCACCAGGAATCCTGAAATCACTTTTAAACTAGAGAACAGCCTTCCCTTCTCTACTGTATGTGAGACAGAGTATGTCCATCCAAGCCAGAGAACGGCTGTAGTGCGTGGGGGATAAGCATCTGGCATGGAGGACAGGGCCGACCGGATTTCCAGTCCTGGTTCTGCTACAGGGCAAGTCACTCAAACTTCAGTTTCCTGAGTGCTAAAATGGGATGAACTAGTACATATCTAATTCATAGGGTGGTTGTGAGGATTGATAATAAGCACTTGGCCAATGTTGTCTATTAATATTACCATTAGTTACTAAGTGTTGTTTTCCTTCCAGATACCCTAAGGCAGACTTGGAAAAAGCCACCGATGGCGTCCCTATGCTAAGCTCAGCCACAATGCTTCTCCTTTGGGTAAATGTAAGACGAGAGTAAATATTCTCCTTTGAGTAAAACCTAGCAAAATATTTGTTTCTCCTGGTTTTTGAAAATATGAGTATCTCTATTCTTTGTATTTCAAAATCCGATTTTCTAATCTAAATGAGAAACAATTTTTTACCCCCAAGATGAGTACTATTTCAAAAATTATTTTCTACCACTTCATATGCCCAGCGATTGTTTTCCTTGGGAAATCTAAGTAATTATGTGCATTAGCTCTTAAACTGTTCTCATGAAATATATGACATGGTTCCTGGTATTCTTACACTTTGTAAAGTTCAGAAAACTTCAGAATGTAGACAGGTTAAGAGGCTCACCCCCAAGGCAGCCACTGGTCTAAATCCCATTATCTTTAACGATATGGCAGCAAAACCCGCTGGAAGGAGTTTGTGGCAAATAACATTCTGTGGGTGGACTTAGAGCACACCAGGGCCTCACTCTAATGTGCTCTTTGGGGACTAGGTTTGCAGACCATGTTATACCAGAACTAGTGCCCTAACGAGGCTTGAGCAGGTATCTTCCCAGTACCCTCTCCCTAAAGAATCCCTGACCACTACAGGGATTCCTGACATCTCAGACACAGGCTGGGTCCATTTAAACTCCCTTTAATTTCTCTGCTCACAACCACCAGGGCTATCAATATCTAAAAATCCACCTGGTACCTACACCAGACTGAGGTCCACCCATAAGTCCTTCATTTGCAGGGCAGGTTCAGAGGAGTATTTACGATGGCTACCCAGCTCTAGGGTCTACTAGTTTAAAATTCCAAGTAAACGTTAAGATCCCAGAGTTGCGTGACATCATCTTCCTTGAGGTTAATTTAAACAAGTTGTAAGACCAGCTTCTCTACCTCAAAGCTCTATGGGTTAACAACTAAGAGAAGCCAACCAGCACTCCCTGGCTCTGCCATCCACATTTAATTGTATGACAGGTGGAAGTCTCTTCAAGATTAGAGGATACTGAGATCACTAACTGATTAAGTTCCTCTAAATCTATTTGCTTGTTTTTGCTGTCCACCAAGCCAAGGCTTAGCCATTGTCAATTTATTAGCGTTTCAGAGAAGTGCCAGGACACCATCAAATACTATTTGTGGAACCCATCATTTCTGGCTCCAGATGGAGATTTCTGAATTTACATCAGGCTATTTATAGAGCAGAGAAAAATCTATACTTCCATTCACTCCTGGGAATAATTAAATTTCATGCCTATCATGAAGTGCGTGATAAGGACGCACAATTTTTTTGGAGAAAGTTAGAAGGCAACTAAAAATATTTCATTTTACTTCAAATGCTTATTCTTATATAGTCATAATTTTCCACACAGAATGCAACTCCAGTGTGAGCTTATGAATAAAACCAAAACAGAATCAAAATCCATGGCGTATCCTGGAATGGCTTTACAACACAATCAAAAAAGCAATTCTGGGTTTTTCTTTTATTTTTTGAAGTTGGGGAAACTTCAGAGAAAAAAGGGAAGAAAGGAGAATTTAAAAAAAGAAAAGTTCTATGGCTGGTGTTTGGGTGTCCAATATACCAAGTTAGCTATTTATAATGGGAAGATTAAATAATGGTTACATTTTACTTCACTTGTGCTATGAAGTCACGGATACAATCTGGGTCAGCTTCTATGCTCCCCAATTGAACTAATTTAGTTTGCATCTGATATGCATCTGATTTAGAGGCAAAAAGTATTGTCCTCAAAACTGGGGCCAATAAACTATAGCCTGAGGGCCAAATCTAGTCTGAGACCTGTCTTTGCACATAAAGTTTTATTGGAATACAATTATGCTCATTCATTTATGCACTGTCTGTGGCTGCTTTTCACCTGCAACAGCAGAAATAAGTAGTCTCGATAGAAACTGTATGGCCCACAAACTGAAGATATTTACTACCTTTACAGAAAAAGTTTATGTACCCTTATTTAAGATGGTCACAGAAGGCCACACACCACACAACATTGTTCAAGAGATTGTAACACAGTAGGATCCACGCAAGGCACGTCATTTCTAGTTACATTAATTACTCAGATTCTAGACAAATTAATCACAATAATTGCACATATCCATTTCCCACCTTCTGATTCTATATATAAAACACCACACATCTCTTTTTCCAAAGAACTCTATATCCTCTCAAACTTGAAGGTTATCAGGCATCATATGATTCAGAAATATGCTATAGCAGATCATAAGAAGTGCCATTAATGAGCTATAAGTACTCTTTACCCGTGCATTTTAGATGCATGCGCATCTTCGTATGTGAAGGCAATAAACATTAAAATATTAATATTAACAAAGGAACAATAAGGGATTCAAATAAGTAATTTTTCAACTTTAGGAACCATCTTACTAGTTCATGTAAGATAAAAGCATTAATTGTAATCATTCAAATTCAGTTTTTTGAATCAGAAAAACTTTTACAAGTGTCAACTTTATCCCATAAAATGTATCCCATAAAAGTCCCTCAAAATTACTATTTCTACTGACTTCATACTTACATGAATACATATCTCATAGTCAATGTAAGAATGCCAGAAGTCCTCCTTCTGAATCCTAGGATCTCGAACCCAGACACTTACAAATTCCTGTAATGGCATCATAAACAAAGAATTATCCTTCAGAAGTGCAAGTAGGACTGGAAAGAACTGAGCAAATGACTGCACTAAAACAAAACTGAAATGAGCTTTAACCAATGTGGTACTTGTAATATTTTAAAAAACAAGAAGTAAAGTTAATGAATCAGGCACCACGAGCAAATCCAGAAAACACTTTTGCCACATAACGGAATTTTTTAAATAATGCAAAACTGAGGTGGGAGCACTTCTGGATAGTTTTACTGGTTATCTGAAGACAAAGTATACTGTAAAACTGACTTTTAATTTTTAATCATAAAAAATTGGTCCAGGTTTTTTTCAAATTTAAAAAGTGATCATTTCTTACTTTCTTCATCTCTCCAAACTGAAACAATGGGCCCTTCTGGGTAAGTTGCTTATTAGGACACAAATAAGAAAGGGCACCAGGCCAAGCATGGCAGCTCACACCTGTAATCCCAGCACTTTGGAAGGATCTCTTGAGCCCAGGAGTTTGAGACCAGCCTGGGCAACATGGCGAAACCCCATCTCTACAAAAAATACAAAATTAGTCAGGCGCGCTGGTGCACGCCTGTGGTCCCAGCTACTCAGAAGGCTGAGGAGGGTGGATCACTTGAGCCTAGGAGGTCAAGGCTGCAGTGAGCCTTGATTGTGCCCCTGCACCCCAGTCTGGGCAAAAGAGCAAGACCCTGTCTCAAAAGAAGAAAAAGAAAGGATACCAAAGGTCATGGGAAAAGTAAGCAAAGAGGGTTGAAGTTGACTTTGTGCATACATCCCAGCCACATGAGAATAAGCAATAACAACTTATTAACAGAAAGAGGAACACCTTATTTTACATAATACTTTTCTATTTTTAAAATACATTTCCCCTACGTTAAATCATTTCATCTTCATAATCTTTGTGTTATACATAGAAATTAGGGATATTAAAAGTCATGTACAGTAGATAATTTTGTTCTTTTATAAAGATAATAAGAATAGAAAACTTGGGGTAAAATTTAAAACAATAGGCCGGGTGCAGTGGCTCGCGCCTGTAATCCCAGCACTTTGGGAGGCCAAGGCGGGCGGATCACAAGGTCAAGAGATTGAGACCATCCTGGCCAACATGGTGAAACCTTATCTCTACTAAAACTACTAAAATTAGCTGGGTGTGGTGGCGCGTGCCTGTAGTCCCAGCTACTCATGAGGCTGAGGCAGAAGAATCACTTGAACCCAGGATGCAGAGGTTGCAGTGAATTGAGATTGCGTCACTGCACTCCAGCCTGGCGACAGAGCAAGACTCCGTCTCAAAAAAAAAAAAGGAACAAGATAACCCTATAGTGATGCTCTTTGGCCATTATTTCTTTTCTTTTTTCTGATTTTTGAGATAGGGTCTCACTCTGTCACCCAGACTGGAGTGCAGTGGTACGATCTTGGCTCACTGCAGCCTCAAGCTCCAGGGCTAAAATGATCCTCCTACCTTAGCCAATCTCACCCCCAGTAGCTGGACTATAGGCGGGTGCCACTATGCCCAGCTAATTTTTTAATTTTTGTAGAGACAGGGTCTCGTTATGTTGCCAAGGCTGATTCCAAACTCCTAGGCTCAAGCAACACTCCTGCCTCAGCCTCCCAAAGTGCTGGGATTACAGGTATGAGCCACTGTGCCCTGGCCATTATTTCTTCTTCTCTATTTCTTTATTTTTTTTTCATGTGCATTAAGAGACAACCATCATTTCTTAAAAGCATATTCTAAATTACAAGAGGGACTAAAAGACCATTTTTAAACCAAAGTATCCATAATATTCCCTAATCACAGTGTGATAAAGCAGATTCTGCCCAGGGATGGAAACAGAAGCAAAAATCCAGATACTTTGCTCTTGGTCTATGCTTTTCACCTCCATCTCTTGTCACTGTGTATGTGTGTGTGTCTCTTAAAATTTTAAATGCACACTCAAAATTCATTGCAGCACTAAGACTCCACATATTTTTTCAATCCTGAAAATACTTAACTTGGAGTGCTAAATATCACTATTCTCTTGTGGATGGCAAACTTCTTCTTCTCCGCTCCCTGAAATGTTTCTGTGCCTGAATGCCATCCCAGGCCGTTGTTCTTTGCACACTATTGCAATTCTAGGGTGACCTCATCCAAACACATTCAACCTCCTCGCATGGGCTGATGGTCCCCATCCAAAGCTCCATCCCAGTCCAGGCACCTCTCCCATGGATCCAGCCTCTAGCCTGATCCACCTAAAAGTCCCTTGAGCACGCCGTGCCCATACCCTTCCCACATCATCCTGCTCCCCTTCTCAGTGAAGAGCATCTCCCACCAACCCCAGCTAGAAATCCAGTTCTCCCAGACCCCTCTGTTTGACTCATTCCCCAAATCCACACAGACCAAGTCCTTCAGAGTCATTCTCCTTGGAACCACTCACAACTATTCCCTCTGCTACTGCCTTGGTTTAAGGACCTCTAGCCCAACATTAATGCAAGAACTGCTAATTTATATCTGGGCCCATATCCAGTGCATTCCCCACATGAAGACAAGAAGGGCTCCAAAACACGTATCTGATGATGTTGCTTTCCTGCTGAAAATCCTTCAAAGGCTGCCCCATAACCTTCAAGTTCAAACTCCTAAACTAGCACAATACAGCCTTTCATGATTTTCACTCTGCTTATTTTCAAAGGCTAAGCATAGGTCCCCCTAAGCAACACGCCACTTCACACTTTCAGCCTTCGACCAAGCTGTTCTCTCTGCCTGGACTGCTAGGCCACCCTACTGCCCGTTTTTTTGTTTGTTTGTTTGTTTGTTTGTTTGTTTGTTTTTAATCTTCTCTTTTTTTTTTTTTTATCTTCTCTCTCTCTTTTTTTTTAATCTTCTCTTTTCTTCTACTGTTTTTTGCCAACTCCAATTCATTCTTCAAATGCAACTTGGTCCCCACTTTTTCTGGCAACCCTTCTCGGATTCACCCAGTCTGACTTATTTGACCCTCCTCTGAGCCCCTAACGTCTCTGGGATTGCCTTGGGCGTAGTCCCTACTCACCATGTCCTACTGTGCTGTATTGTAATTACCTGTAGGCCTCCTCTAGCAGATGCTAAGCTCCTGTAGGGCAGCTTAGGCTGTCTTGTAAGACTTGAATGCCTGATACATCCAATGCATTCCATTAGTATCATTTAATGAATAAATAAATGCCTGCAGGAATAAACAAACTGCCTTCAGGAAAGGAAAATCAAACTTCACTTGAAATTAAAACCTCATCTACTTGGATTCTTGGGCTCCATGAATTAATGGTAAGTTATTTAGCAGCTGGTCTAAAGTTTATTTTATTTAACAAAGCCCTTCCTCTAAGGATGTGCCAATTAACAGCATAGGGATACAAGAGCAATGTTTAAGATCTGGTAGAACAAACTGTTTTCTAGCACCCTAAAGAACCCAGAAGCACCTATTTACATAGAAATAATTGAAAATCCTTCTGATAGCTTCAATAACTTAGTCCCCTAAGACTTGTACCAGGCAACAATTTGTTAGCCTAGTTGGAGCTAAAATATGTACTCGAAAGTAATAAAAGTACATTTATTTTAAAATATTCTATAATTCACATGGGTCTCCTCCTCCCCCACTCTGCAATTAGTAGGAATTAGTGAAGTTTCCCCATACTCTCAGCTACAAATAGCACACCCAGGAAGCCAAGGTTCACCTCTAATCTCTTAATTAGACGCATCCCTCATGACATTGCCCGCCATCCTTCAAAGGAATGTTGACAGGCTGTCAGCCACAGAGGACAGTTCCACAGCCCCTTACCTAGAATCATATGGATTTCCTAGGAAAATTGCTTCAGCAGCTGCAGTTAGTCAATTTAATAACCTTATTAAACACTTTAATGACTTCTTGGGCCTAACGACTATATGTAGTAGGAAAAAGCCAGGCAGAGTGGAATTAAACATTTAGACTAACTGTCCCTACTGTTCTCCATGTGAAAACAGACTTCTAAAGAAAGACTCCTAGACTCTTTGAAGATCTAATTCCTGTGTTATCCTATAATAATCACCCTTTGATTTCAATTTCCCTGTTTTTCCCCCATCCCCACACCCCAGGTTTGACCATTATCCACTTCTACCCTGTCTTTTTTTTTCCTTAGCCCTTATGTGAGATGAAACTAATAATAACAATAACTGTATTGTATTGTACCAGGGCACTCGACATGTGCCGTGCTTTGTACTGTTTCACAAATGTTTTCTTCAATCTTTACAACAACCCTCAGAGCTCAGTATATTCTCATCCTACTCTACAGATATTTTAAATGAGGCTTCTAAAGCTTAAGCAACTGGCCCAAAGTCAAATGACCAGTCTGAGCTAAGTCGCAAACTCACATCTGCCTTCTTCCAAAGACTGTACTCTAAAACATGTTCTATCTAGTGATTCTTTTAGTAATAATAAATATTAGGCAATTTCCAATTTCACTGTAATTGTATTGTTTTGGAGGGGGAAGTTTTTTCTACTTTTATTAGCTAAAATACCAGTTCAGACAACATGCTCTTCTCAAACTCTGTCCTTCTGGCTTCTTAAAGCTTTGTATTTCATTTTTGTATTTCTAGCACCAAGCATGGTACTAGCACGTACTAAGTGCATATTAAATGTTTCAGAATTAACCAACTGATTTACAAGTAAGATCTTTTAAAAGGCAGAGGTCCTCTATGCTGAAAATCGTAAGATGCTATTGAAAGGCATCAAAGCAGAGACATACTATGTTCACAAATTGGAAGACCCAACATAATTAAGAGATAAATTTGCCCAAAATTGATCTGTAGGTTTAACACAATTCCTATAAAAAATATCAGCAAGATTTTTTTTGAAGACATAAATGGGCTTATTCTAAAATTTATATGGAAAGGGAAATGTCTTAGAATAGCCAAGAATTTTTTGAAAAAGAATAAAGTGGGAGGAAGCCTTCTTCCCAATGTTAAGGCTACAGTAGCAAGACAATGGAGTCCTAGAGGGACAGACACAGTAGATCAATGAAAGAGAACAGAAAACCCAGAGAGAGACCTACACAAATATGCCCACCTGATTTTTGACAAAGGTGCAAAAACAATTCAAAGGAGAAGGAAAAGCCTCTCAAGAAATGGTTATGGAACAACTGGACATCCATAGGCCAAGAGATGAACCTCAACCTAAAGCTTGCACCTCATACAAAAATCAACACTAACCAAACCACAGATGTAAATGTCAAACATAAAACATCAGAGAAAACTTTTAGAAAAAAAAAAAACATCAGGCCGGGCACAGTGGCTGATGCCTGTAATCCCAGCACTTTGGGAGGCCGAGGCGGGCAGATCATGAGGTCAGGAGATCGAGACCATCCTGGCTAACACAGTGATACCCCATCTCTACTAAAAAATACAAAAAATTAGCCAGGCGTGTAGTCCCAGCTACTCGGGAGGCTGAGGCAGGAGAATGGCGTGAACCTGGGAGGCGGAGCTTGCAGTGAGCCGAAATCACGCCACTGCACTCCAGCCTGGGCAACAGAGCGAGAATCCATCTAAAAAAAAAAAAAAAAAAAAAATCTTGCAGCCTAGGACCAGGAGAAGAGTTCTTAGACTTGATCTCAAAAGGGCAATTCACATAAGGAAAAAGTGATCAATTAGGCTTCACCAAGCTAAAAATCTTTGCTCTGCAAAAGACACTGTGAAAAACGTTAAAAGAGCAAATTACAGACTGAAGAAATATTTGCAAATTACACATCCCATAAAGGACTTGCATCTAGAATACATTAAAAAAAAAAAAAAACCTCTCAGGCGAGGTGGCTCTCTCCTGTAATCCCAGCACTTTGGGAGGCCAAGGTGGGAGGATCACCTGAGCTCAGGAGTTTCAAGACCAGCCTGGGCGACATGGTGAAACCCCATCTCTATGAAACATTTAAAAATTATTTAAAAATTAGCTGAGTGTACTGGCTCACACCTGTAGTCCCAGTTACTCAGGAAGTTGAGGTGGGAGGATTGCTTGACCCTGGCAGATGGGTGGGAGGTTGCAGTGAGCTGAGATTGCACCACTGCACTCCAGCCTCAGCAAGCGAGACCCTGTCTCAAAACACTCATTCACTCACTCTAAAAACTCAATATTTTAAAAATAGAATTTAATTAGAAAACAGGCAAAAGACATGAAGAGGCATTTCACCCAAATAGGGCATTCAGATGGCAAACAAGCACGAGGAAAGATGTTCAACATCATTAACCACTAGGGAAATATAATTAATCCCACAATGATATATCATACATACCTATTACAGTTTCTAGGGGGATTACCACTATTTTTTATTTTAGCCATTGTGATAGGTGTGTTTTTTAAAATTTTCCATCATAGCTTAGTTTGAATCTTTGTAGCACAGTAAAGATGAGTAGGTGTTAACTGTAAAAATATTTACTTAGAGGCTGGGTGCGGTGGCTCAAGCCTGTAATCCCAGCACTTTGGGAGGCTGAGACGGGCAGATAACAAGGTCAGGAGATCGAGACCATCCTGGCTAACATGGTGAAACCCCGTCTCTACTAAAAAATACAAAAAAAAAAAAAACTAGCTGGGCGAGGTGGTGGGCGCCTATAGTCCCAGCTACTCGGGAGGCTGAGGCAGGAGAATGGCGTAAACCTGGGAGGCGGAGCTTGCAGTGAGCTGAGATCTGGCCACTGCAGTCCAGCCTGGGCGACAGAGTGAGACTCCGTCTCAAAAAAAAAAAAAAAAAATTTACTTAGATTACAGAAAGATCACACAAGACGAAAGCTAATAAAGCAGAACATCTAGGCGTTAAGTGAATATTAATTTTTCATAGCTTTGATGAGAATTTTCTACCATAAAAATGCAAACTTGTCTCAGTTTGTTCTTCCTTCTTAGGACATTTTTTTTCCTATTTCAAAGTAATGTTTTACATGTTCATGTATTTAAACCATTCATTCACTTAAAATACATTGTATACCAACAATGCGCTAGGTACTTTTCCATAGAACTAATGGTTATAGAATTTACCAGTGTGGGCTGGGTGTGATGGCTCACGCCTGTAATCCCAGCACTTTGGGAGGCCACGGCAGGTGGATTGCCTGAGGTCAGGAGTTTGAGACCAGCCTGGCCAACATGGTGAAACACCGTCTCTACTAAAAATACAAAAATTAGCCAAGTGTGGTGGCACACACCTGTAATCCCAACTACTTGGGAGACTGAGGCAGGAGAATTGCTTGAGTCTGGGAGGCGGAGGTTGCAGCGAGCCAAGATCGTGCCACGGCACTCCAGCCTGGCCGACAGAGCAAGACTCTGACTCAAAAAAAAAAAAAAAAAGAATTTACCAGTGTGTTAATCACCGGAGTGCTATTCAGGACCCCTATATAACAATCTCACAACTAAAATCTAGCACATTTCTTATACTATATTCTTTACAAATAACAAAATAGAAAGGCAGAAGGAATATATCAAGTAACCTTCCTTTATTTCCTAACAACAGCTGTAACAAATAACTTAAGAGACATAGGACAAGGGATATTACTTGCCACTCTACAGCATGGAGTATGTTTAAATACCATCCTCTGGTGGTACTGAATGATGACTTTTTGAAAAGCTTTTATTACTTCAGGATAAACAACTGTGGAGAGATTTAGCTAGACCTGCCTTTTACAGGACTTATAATAGTTCACAATGTTTCAAGTTTCTTTACACAAGCAGTATCCCAAATCAGTGAGAGTTACCTTTTCATATCCTGTAACACATTAGGAAAAGTGCAGGAAAAAAAAACAAAAAACAAAAAACCTCCTCTTCTGCGGTAAGAAATAATTGGCATCCACAAGGATGCAATCAGCAAAATCGAGAATGTGAAAATCTTTACAAGGCAAAAGATGCAATTTCTTCCACAGATAAATCGCAAAAGGGGGAAAAAAGAGAATTAAAGACTTTAAACAATGTATCAACCAAATGTAATGTGTGGTCCTTATCTGAATCCTAATTAAATAGAGAATTAGAATAACCAAGTATATAATTTTTTTCAAAATAATCAAGGTAATTTGCACATTGAATATTTGATGATATGAAGGAATTGTTTAATTATTTAACATGTGATAATATGGTTCATTTTTTAAAAAGGTCATTTGTTAGAAATGCCTACTGAAATATTTACAGATGAAATTATATAATACCTAGAATTTGTTTCCAAATAATTG